GTGTCTCCGAAACACGCATACAGGATCCTAGTGTGGTCATTCACTTGATCTCACCTCGGAAAAACGTAGAGCCGACCAGATACACCCTCCGTGTATCTGGCGACCCGATGGCTAGTTCTCGTGGACTGGCAGGTGTAGGCATAGCACTAAGCATGAGGGCGGAACAAGTGCTATTAGAGTGGATTCCCGTAAACAGTCGTCTATGTGCTGTTCGGCTAAACGGCTCCGTAAGAACTCGGAAAGATAGGGACACACGTCGTTGCCTTTTTGTCGTTTCTGCATCCGCTCGGATGAAGTGAAAGATGAATTTTACAGAAAACTCTCTGTACTTCTTCAGAAAGCTAAACGTTCAGACATAGTACTCATAGCGGCTGACTTTAATGCCCAAGTAGTTAGCTTCAACGAAACAGAAATATATTAAGGTGAAAATTTTGGTATTCCAGCTCAGCGAACAGATAATGGTGATATTTTGCTGCAACTGTGCTCAGACAACAGTTTATTTTTAGCAAACACAAATTTTAAGCATAAGGAAAGACACTGTCTGACATGGCACCCCTCCTGCACCGAATCAACGATAGACTCAAATAGACCATATTGCTATCAGTCATCGTTGGAGAGGGTCGATAGAAGATTGTCGCTCATTCTGGAGTACCTGTTTGGACTCTGACCATGCCCTAATACGATCACGCATCTGCTTGCGCCTCACTGCACGCAAGAAAGCCACATTAAAAAGACACATTCAAGAACAACTGAAGTCACACTTAGGTAGTTCTGAAAACGAGGCTGACCTAGATGTTGCTTAGAAAGATATACAAACAGCTGTGGAAATAGCAGTGACATCTATTAGTGATTTAAACCACATGGCTACAAAAACCAATGGATTTTTTCAAGGTCTATTGAACTGATGGATTTGCGTAAACACATCCCATCAGGTTCTGAACACGATGAAGAGCGTAAAAAATTTGATCTAGGTCAAGCAAAAGTCTAAGGAACGACCGTGAGCAGTGGTGGGCAGTGAAAGCAAAAGAGATGGAAAAGGCGGCGGCTATAGGTAACACCAGACAGCTCTTCAGACTCATAAAAGAAACTGGAACTAATGGTCAGATGTAAGTGAGACTATCTCGGAAAAAGACGATGTTCTTATCTGCTCCCAGTCCAGACGTTTAGAAGGATGGGCCGAACACTTTAAGGAGCAGTTCAGTTGGCCTTCAGCTACTCTACAACTACCCACTATTCTCAGACAGTATGAATGGAATATTGAAGTAGGTCCCCCAACTCTAGCTGAAGTTCAAAAGGCTAAAGCTAATCTGAAACGAGGAAGGGCAGCTGGTCCAGATGGATTGGCCCCAGAGGACTTCAAGGATGGTGGTCTAGTTTTAGCGATTAGGTTGACCAATATTTTAGCTAAAATCTTGGAGTTGGACGTAATCCCTTCTGACTGGTCACAATCACTTATCGTCCCAATATATAAGAAAGGGTCAAAATCATCCTGTGACAACCACAGAGGGATTAGTTTGACTAATATAGTATCTAAAATACTAGCCTCGATAATTATCGGATAATCAAGCTGTTTTCAGACCTAGTGGTGGATGCATAGACCACATATTCACCATTCGTAAGGTTCTAGAACACAGGAATACTTATCAGTGTTCTTCCTTGACCTAAATGCAGCATTTGACTCTGTGGACCTAGAGGTTCTGTGGCAGTGTCTGTCATTGAAAGGCGTACTTCAAAAGCACATAAACTTTGTGAATGCTCCTCACTCGAACACTAATAGTCGAGTCAGAGCTTATGGCGAACTGTCATCCGCTGTTGCAACCTCGAGTGTGGTTCGTCAAGGCTGTCCACTTTCTCCATTTTTGTTTAACTTCATCATAGATCTACTGATGGAAATAACGCTCTCATCGACTGAATTTTCGGGTATTGATCTCCCACCAGGAGGTCCACTTATAGACTTAGAATACGCAGATGACATAGTCCTGTTTGGTGAAGACGCTGATGAAGTGCAAAGTCGTTTGGTAGCACTGAGCAACAATGCCATAATGTTCGGGATGACTGGACTGCGTCAACACCTGAACTAAGGATAGGGAGTGAAGTATTCGAACGCGCTGACAACTTCACTTATCTTGAAAGTCTGATCAGCCCTAATGGGTTGGTGTCGGACGATATCTCGGCACGGATTTGAAAAGTTAGTTTGACTTTTGCCAACTTACATCATCTATGGCGCAGGCGAGATATCCGTCTATCAATTAAGGGACGAGTATACTGTTCAGCAGTTCGTTCTGTTCTACTTTATCGCTGTGAAACGTAGCCATTAGGAGTAGAAGGTACTCGTAAGCTACTAGTATTTGATCACAGATATCTTAGAAATATTGCTCACAACTTCTGGGATCACCGGGTAAGTAATGGTGAGGTTAGAGGCAGGGTATTAGGGAATGATGGTGAATTTGTTGTTGAGGTTGTGGTTCTTCACCGACTGAGATAGTTGGGTCACGTGTCACTTATGCCTGAACTCCGACTACCACGATGCGCAATGCTGACTAGTTTTGGGGATGGTTGGAAGAAAGTTAGGGTTGGCCAAATTAAAACGTGTCATCAGTGCTTGAAGTCACTACCTTCTAGTCTGATTCATGTTGTTAGATGCAGACTACTTGATTGGGGTTCGCGTGAGTGTCGTAATCAATGGTTCGAGACTGTGTGTGACATGGCTTAGAATCGATCACAATGGTGTAGGTGTATACGCTCTCTGTGTTCCCTTAAACTGTGAGAATAAAATTGCTTTATACCTTTCTTTCTGTGAACTAATTCTTTCTTCCTGTACTATCTCCTTATATGCAATCTTTCTTCTATATATTACCACCACTGAATTAAATACTTCTATGAATCCGGTGTTCAGCTTGTTGTGCTAATGCGGTATGGCAACTTGGACCGATGCATATACGTGCCTGGTGCTACGTTACAGCTGAATGACTGACTGATTCTGATATACCGAGGGAAGCAGCTTCAGTCCTGGCAACAACGCTTAGCGTGATGTGCTCACACTCGCTAAGTCGAGGCAAACCACCGGAAAATTGAAAGCTGGCTCATATCACACCAATCTTCAAAGGAGGTCGACGCCACGAAACTTCAAGTTACCGACCGGTGGATCTTCTCTCTATACCTTAAAAAATCATGGAGTCCCTGATATTCGATGGTATACACGACTATCTGCTGTCCTTAAATTTCTTCTCACTCCAACAGCATGGTTTCGGGAAGGGTTACTCCTGTATGACGAACCTGCTGACCAGGTGGACAGATGGACAAGCATCCTTGATCGCAAGGGTAAGGTGGATATCACTTACCTTGATTTCTCTAAAGCTTTTGATAGGGTTAATCACATATCTCTTATCAATAAGCTCAGACAATTGGGTATCAAACCACCTTTAATTGACTGGCTCAGTTCATATCTGACAAATCGACATTTTAAGGTCAGGGTAAACTTCAATTTATCACAGGCTATGGAATGTCCTAGTAGGGTACGCCAGGGACAGTACTAGAACCTCTTCTCTTCCTGATTTATATAAATGATCTTCATCAACAGGCAACGTCAGACTTATTGCTTTTTGCCGATGATGTCAAACTTTGGACAGAGATACGCAACCAAGAGGATATACAGGCACTTCAGGAGGATCTGACTCGACTCCAAAGTTGGGCAGACGAGAACGGACTTACCGTTAACACTTCAGAGTGTAATGTAGTCCATCTGCGACACGTCGCAGACTACAGTCACAACTTAGGAAACTCCTCTCTAGTAGTATCCCGAGTCGAAAAACATTTAGGAGTCCTGGTGCCCTACGAGTTAAAGTCTTACGCCAACTGTGACAGAAATGCCATTCGGGCGAACCATGCACTGGTAACATTGAAGTGCATTTTCGGTCTGTTTGACGAGAGAACCTTCCACATAATCTTCAACAATTTCATTCGTTCCCATTAAGAGTACGGAAACATAGTGTTTCCTCCTACCCTCCAAAAGGATAAGGACACTCTGGAGCGTATCCAACGGCGAGCCACGAAATCAGTTCGGGGACTCAAATTTAAACCTTACAAAGAGCGCCTTCAATCACTCGACCTTTACCCATTAGAGTATAGGCGTCTTAGAGGCGACCTTCTAATGGCTTACAGTATCCCTGAAACTTCTGGACATCCTCTTAAACACCTACTTAAGCTTAGTTCCAACACTAACCTAAGGGGTAACACCCAGAAATTGGAGATACAACATAGTAGAACGGACTGCAGACACAACTTCTACTCCTTAAGGGTTGTCAAACGCTGGACTTCGCTGCCGTCTGAGCTAGTCCAAGCAACTTCCCAGGAGTCCTTTAAGAGGCGACTTGATCTATTCCTAAGGACTAAGGATAGTATCTTACTATGATTTACCGATTTCTTTTTTCTCTCTTATCGTTGATACACCTAGATTCTTGCCTGGAGGTATTGGTGATCCCCTGCTACTAGACACGGAAGCCTGTTAAGCGGAAGCTTCTATTCCGTCCACAACCATTAGGACCGTTTGATAAATTGTCTACTTGATTTCGAATCCTTGCGGTACCACCATAAAATATTGACTACACACGTTGTTGTACTTACAAGTTCAAGTATCATAGTATTTGCAAGCACTTTTATTTAAATCCAGTTTTTGCTTCACTATATATTGACCTGTAAGTACTAAAAATTTCCTTGTTACATAAACTATTTGGTATTCAATACACATATATGATTAAATATCTCAATCGGGTTACTTTATTCACATTTTGTTTTAGATACTGCTATTTTTCTTAGAGAACTACCAGGGATAACTACTACTACTTATTCGTATTTTGAAAACTGAAAGCTTTTGTGTAAAAGGAATAGCTAACATGTATATTGTTTAGTTGTAGCTCCAGTTTTCCCTTTGTTCCCCTTTTTCTTTTAGACCGACCTGCCAGTATGGATTTACAACACCATCAACAAATCTGTAGGATATCATGATTCCTGCTTTAAAAAAACTTCCTAACATATGGTCTTCAGCTATAACGTCAGTTCGATGGTTATGCACTTCGCCATCCTATCCAAACAACAATTCTTCTGTTCCTCTCACAGAATTGAGGAATCGCCGTGAAATCTTCGTCAACAAACTGAATATTTGCACTGAACAGCTGGTAAATAAGCCTTCTTATCACATAGTTATAATACCAGCCTCAGAAATACAGTATATGGCTTACCATGTTCCATACCGTTTTCACCAAGATTCCAACTTCTTCTACTTCACAGGGTTAAGTGAACCAAATGGAGTTCTAGTGTTTTGCACAGATAAAACAGAAGAACGTCACGATCAAAGTGACTCCAATTGGTCGACACATCTATTCTTGGAGACTCAGAACAAACATGCCGAGATCTGGGATGGTCCATCTTTGACGTTATCAGAAGCCTCTTTGGCAACTGGGGTTGATAATTCTCATGCTTTGAATGAGTTTAGTAACTTTTTGAACCGTCAAGCTTCATTTACACAGTCCGTATGTGTTTGGTATAGTCCATTATCATCCAAAAATTTTGTTGAGCGCCCCTTAAATAAGTTCATTTTGAAAAAGATTTTAGAATTCTCCCGACAAACTAGCGACAAAAGTATTAGTTTTGAAAATCCAGACTATATAATCGACAGCATTCGCTTTATAAAATCAAATTATGAAATAAAACAGATAAAAATCGCGGTTATTGCAGCGATCGAGTCTCTTGAGTCGGCTATGCAAATTACACAACCAGGAATTACGGAAACTGCTTTACAAGGTCATATAGAATACCAAATGCGCAGCCGAGGCTGTTCTGTCGGGTATCCTCCTGTTGTTGCTGGAGGGAGTAGAACAAACATCATTCATTATATGAAAAACAATATGAGAATTGAGAATGGGGAATTGGTTTTGGTGGATGCTGGATGTCGCTTTAACGGGTACACGTCCGATATTACCCGAACTTGGCCAGTAAACGGTATGTTGAAGTGATTTTGCTTAATTTCGACACTTAAAAATTCTGAAGCTTGCAAATTGAAAAAATTAAAGCTAGGCAGCTCCAATTAGGTTTTCCCAACTAACTGAGTCTCACGAATTGTTATGCCATTGATAGTTTCGTTCACAAAATGTAGCCTCAAAATATCTTAATCATTTATACCAAGTGGTAATTTCCAGCACACAAGTACTAAAAGCCTGTAAGGTTAGTACGGCAAGTTCAAATATAATTTGTTAAAATTGTATTTGAAACTTAAATTACTCCAACACTTGTCAAAGAAATCTGTCTAGACTTGTTCAGAGCAATAACCGTAATCAAGATTATCGAAAAGTATGTGACGTTTAAAAACCAAATCATATCTACATTAAATGCCTATCAAATGAAATTCAAGTGTTAACTTTGATAAATAGGATAACATAAGTATGATAATTAAAGGTATTCGAATCATCATGCTAACTAGGAATTCCTGAAAAAGTGCAATTTACAGAAAGTAAAACTAGATAAGCACAAATGAGTATATTATATTTGGAATTCGAAATAAATAGGTATTCATGTACAACAGAACCATTAGTTCGTACAAATAAATGTGGAAGGTACACAAGGTGAAAATAGATGAATGTGCGTATGTGGGACTGTGTGATATTAATAATTGATATTCAGTGAATGAATATTAATAATTTATTCGTCTACTAAACGCCTTTTAATTCTTTGGTAAATATCGTCAATATTTATCGCTTTCTCAACTTCTATAGTTTTTGTGATGCAGCATAATGACACTCCTTACTCATTCTCCTGGATATTTTCATACAAATAATCAAAGCCTTGTAAGACACTGGTGGTACCAGGTTATTTCGATTACTTATTTTGAAGGAGTATCTGTGATCTTGTGTCAATTTGATGAATCATCCATTCTCATCCCACTTATGATATTTAAGATATAGGGCTGGACAGGTAAGACGTCTTATTCCTACTATTAAATAACTTTCTGACCGATGTCTTATATTAAGTTCCACTTCCCAGTAAAATGTACATTAGCACCTACTTGCTCCATTATAATTGGTGAATGTTTCAATTAGGTCGAATCCAAAACATTGTAATTACATATTAAAATCTGTTTATTCATTAGGAAACTTTTCGGCACCTCAGAAAGTTATACATGAAATATTAGTTGATGTACAGAACTCATGTGCATCTTTAGCCTCTCCTGAACAAAGTCTGCAAGATGTTTATCACCATATGCTGTCTGAAATAGGACGACACTTAATAAGTGAGGGGATTATCCCAGACCAGGACAAGTTGTATGTAAGTTGAATTTTTTTTAAAAACAGATACCTCTTAATCAAATTTCTTCTCAATTACATATTACCATTAGTATTATTATCGGTATTTCCATGATCTTATAGTTAATTGACATACGATTGCTCCAGCACCTTAGGTCAATTTTACGGTTTTTACAGTCGCTACATCATAGTAAAATGAGATAAGTTATTTATTTTTATTTATTTGAACACATAAATATTGGTACAAGGGGTACCAGATAAATTTGCTGCAAAAAATTTGCAAGTTCATTTGATGTGCGTTTTCATGAAGGCTGATAAAAGTATTTGATTTCCACTTATATTGACTAACAACAATTATTGGCTCGCATGTAGTTTCGAACGTAAATCTTCTGAAATATGAGCAACAAACTTCCATAATATTAGGTATATAGATACGCATTTAACTACCATCTCCATTATGTACATGTAATAAATGATCTCTCAAATGTACATACTTCTTTCAATTTGAATATCCTTTGTAAATGGAGTGGTGGTTAAACGACCTAAAAACGACTTCCAATTGATAGTTTACAACCCACTTCACCCTGAGAGAAAGGAATATTTTCCATAGGCAAATAGTTCATCATGATTTTAGTGCGTGGGCTGAGATACTGCCCGGGTGCCCAAACCGAAGCAGGTGGTTTTCTTAGGGGGCCACACCCCGAGCCTTCGACCTAAAGGTCTAACCCACAAGGCAGTGGAGCATCGTGAGGAGATGCAGTCCCATGGAAGCCGGTGACCAAGAAATCCGTTCATACGCCATTTGTTCCCTCTGGATACTGGAGCCCATGTGCACCATTGATTTGAGATCCGGTTATAGCGCCGGACGTTCGCTTTTCGTCCTCTCATTTTTGTAAACAACACCCCCGCCACGAGAAGGCAGTGAGTAGGACTTCCCTGGCAGAGGCTGTATACGCGTGGCCGTGTGAGAGTATTTCAAGAGGGAGGGCGGACCCTCCCCGCTCTCGGCCATACCAGGGCATTTGATGCCCCCCTGTACCAATATTTATGTGTTCAAATAAAATAAAAAAATAATAAATACTTCACCCTGAGCCATGTTAGTAGATGCAAACTACTTGCTTGAGGTCCACGTGACTATCGCAACCAATGGTTGAAGACTCTGGGTAACATGGCTTAGAATCGATCACAGCGGCGTCGGTGTATACTCTTTGCTTTATACCTTTCTTTCTGTGAACTAATTCTTTCTTCCCATTTTATATCCTTATACACAAACTTTCTTGTACATATTACTGCCATTAAAGTGACTATTTCTATGAATTTGGTGTTTATCTTGTTGTGCTAATGAGGTGTGGCAAATTGGACCGACGCATATATGTGCCTGGTCCTATGTTGCAGCTGACTAAACCCACTGCACCTCTCTCTGGGAGCTGGTCAGCATTACTGGTTCTCACATTGTGACTTGAGGTCGAGTACCTAGATCTGCAAATACGAAACGAGTTTAAAGACTTAATATGCTGAACATGACTGTTCATTTTTATTATTGTGCTTGCCAAAGGTTTCGAAATATGTAATTCCTCTAACAGAAAATATTATTAGTAATAATCGCAAGTAAACGTTTTTATAAAAGGTCTCTCATGATCATATGAAATTGGCCAAATCGAGAGTTTCCTAATCGTGGAGCGTAGCACTATAATTTAGCATGAAATTCAAATTGCCGATAAACGTAATTTAATTTAGTGGCGACAACCTAGAATTCAGATTCACAAACTCGCCTAAGAATATCTTGTCTATTTCGTCACTATATATTTTTTGTTACTAGGCACTACACAGAAGCACTTTCTTCAAGGTTGCCACTTTATAACAAATACTATTTGAACTTGAAGTATGGATTTCAAAATTTGTATACTTAAGCCAAACCGCTAGATCAGTTTCAATGCACACTATTCTGCTTTTTCTCAAAATATGTGACCATGATACATTTTACGATTTTGAACCGACCTTATGCAAAAATTTTATTTTTAAAATTCAGGTTGCACAAAAGATTTGTCCACATCATGTCGGACATTATCTTGGTTTAGACATTCATGATACTCCTACGATACCTAGTACAAAACGTTTTGAAGCAGGCGTTGTGTTTCCTTTAGAACCAGGTATTTACTTCAGAGATGAGTTGACGAAACTGGGCGTTTCGAAAGAGTTTCTGGGCATCGGTATGCGAGTAGAAGACGATTTCGTCATGTCAAAAACTGGCTGTGCTGAGAATTTAGAACATGTCAAAGATAATTTATTATTGGAAGAACCTTAAAATTCATGTAATAAATTCGAAATTGATGAATATGTTGATTTAAAAACTATGGGTTTCTCAATTCTCACAAGTCTTTAAATCAGTGTTTCGTGAAAAAACTAAACGACATTCCACCTGACGCAAATGATTTTTTAGGTCACTGTCGTAAATGACTTACGAAGGCTTGGTATCTAGTTTTATCGAACTGTTCCCATAAAATTCAATGTAGTAAAATAATCTCTGACAAAGGAATGTTGGTCGTACCTGGAATTAACCAAAATTATAACGAAGTCGACCGAGAAATAAGCCCTTAGGTGTGGTACCTTACATCAGCCAAGTCTAAAATCTGAAGTATCTTTCTGAATAGATAAGCTTATTTCCATCTCATAACCTAATACTTTCGTAAACTGGTAAGTAATTGAAGTAAACAGTCGCGATATTCAAAGTTTATTTATTTATTTGAACACAAATATTGGTACAAGGGGGCACCAAATATATATGAAGAGAAGAGAAAAAAAGTAAGATGCGTAGGGAATTATAAAAAAAGAGAGAACAATAACGACCAGCTTAGTGTAAGGTAGTGTAATAGTAGTAATAATGGGGGAAACGAAAAGGTACAGTCAGAAGAAATCTTTCAATTAAGGAAGAAGCAACCACTCTTTACGAAGAAAGTAAAAGAAGGTTACAGCAGGATCGCCACTGGCTTCTATTCTGAGCCATATCTGACAACGTCTCTAGCCACTGTGTTGCACCATCTCTAGGACCCCAGCCAGGGAGTCGTGAAGAACCAACACAAGCCAGCCCTTTGCAGTTTTCTTTCATACCACGACACCATGCCGTACACTGACTACCTCTCCGCTTATTCCAACCAGTCCCAGAGTCGGCAAATAATGCACGACGAGGAATTTTCTGGGACGACATTCGTAGAACATATCCAAGCCACCGAAGTCAGTGTTTCAAGATGGTGACACCAATTGGATTGTCGTCTTTGTGCCCGAACACACGATGCCGAACATCTGCATTATTGACATGGTGTTGCCACTGAATGTCAGCAATCCTTCGGAGACAGCGATGATCGAACACAGAGTCGTCTAACATCCTCAACTCGGAGAGGCCAGGTTTCACAAGCATACAGCAAAACTGCTCTCACCGACGCGTTGTAGATCCGAACTATTACAGCCAGACTAACATCACGAAGGCGCCAAAGATGGCCCAGATTGGCATAAGCTGCTCTGGCTTTCACTATACGTGCATTGATCTCATCACTGACACCACCACCAGCACTTATGCAGCTACCCAGGCACACGAACTTCTCGACTACTTCTATCTGCTCACTATCCAGAGTGAGTACAGGATTAGAATCCTGCCAGTCTTGTAGAAGTACTTTGCACTTCGAAGGTGTAAAGCACATACCATACCTACGGACATTGATTGCCAACCGATTAAGTGCGGATTGCATAGCTTGGGCATTCTCGCACAGTAAGACAATATCATCCGCATACTCAAGGTCGAGAAGTCTTTCTCCAGGCAACAGATCCACACCACCATTACTTACATCCATCAGAGCTGTCTCCAGAATGTCATCGATGGCAAAGTTGAAGAGGAATGGTGAGATTGGGCAACCATGCCTAACCCCGCTGCTTGAATGGAATAATGGAGAAAGGTGGTTGTATGCTTTCACTCTACCTGGTGTTTGTGTATAGGGCTTTTAGGATGTTAATAAACTTCTCAGGCACACCCTTCTTCAATAGACAATCCCAGAGAACAGTTCTGTCCAACGAATCGAAGGCAGCCCTGATATTAAGAAACACTACGATTGTTGGCCTTTGATAAGTATGGCGGTGTCCTAACATTTGGCGGAGGGTGAAGATATGATCAATACATCCTCGACCAGAACGAAACCCAGCCTGCTCCTCGCGAGTCAATGTTTCTCGGGTTTTGAACAACCTACGAAGTATGACCGAAGCCAATAGCTTGGACGTGATCGGAAGTAGACTTATCCCCCGATAGTTGTTACAGGAACGACATGAACCCTTTTTAAAGATAGGGACAACTATCGACGTTGGTACACTCTCTAGTTCCCAGACCTTTGCAAACAACGTCGTCAGTCCCTTAGTCAGAAAGTCACCACCATCTTTAAAAAGAGTCGGAGGTATGTCATCTGGGCCCGGTGATTCGTAACGTTTCAAGAGTTGGAGTTCCTTGCGAACTTCCGCCTCACTTGGTGGATCAGTCGTCACCGGCCATGGAGGGCAGTGAATCGAGAACGTTTAGATAGAGCCGAATTTCCACCATAAGCGAGCTGCTGTTTAAGTCGAAAAATAAGGATAGACAGAGTAGGAAGAAAAGAGAGTGAATAAATGACGCAGTGAACAATAATAGTAATAATAATAATACAAGTCATTTGATGGTTAATCGGAGCGAAAAGAATGTTTTCCATAAGTAGACAGTTCATCATGTTTGTGTGTGTGGACTGAGATACTGCCCGGGTGCCCAGACCAAGGCAGGTGGTTTTCTTAGGGGGCCACGCCACGACCTTTGACCTAAAGGTCTAACCCACAAAGCAGTGGAGCACCATGAGAAGATGCAGTCCCGTGGTAGCTGGTGACCAAGAAATTGGTTCATACTGTTATAACGCGAAGTCCGCCTATTAGAGAGCAGCGAATTGTCGATCGGACTAAAGACACGTGAAACACATAAGGGCAACCTAGAGTTCTGATTGGCCCTGCTTCCCTGTCTAGCCCAGCCAGTTGAGTCCAGAACGCAAGTCCCAGCCTCAGTGATATGAATCGAATCCTTTATTTCAGACATACTCGGTTTATATATCAATCAGGCAGACCACAACGTACCATAAAATAGAAATAACATATGTACACAAATAGGCTAAAAAGTGGCTGTGTATGTGGGAGAAAGTAATTAATAAACTGAGCATAATTTAGGGACAGTACATCGTACAATGATAAATTATAGGTCAAAGTGAAGCTTATAATAAGAGGAATATAAATATACATAGTCTAACTATTAAATAGTTATACCGTAAGAATATATAGATAATATTATTTAATTAATGTCTCAGAAGTTACTCGTGATATAATCTTCGCTCGGATATAACACATATGCCATTTGTTCCCGCAGGAAACGAGCCCATGTGCACCATTGATTTGAGATCCGGTTATAGCGCCGGACGTTCGCTTTTCGTCCTCTCATTTTCGTAAACAACACCGCCACGAGAAGGCAGTGAGTAGGACTTCCCTGGCAGAGGCTGTATACGCGTGGCAGTGTGAGAGTATTTCGAGAGGGAGGGCGAGCCCACCTCACTCTCGTCCGTACCAGGTCATTTTGGGGGCTAAGAAGAGATTGAAGTCAGTAATCATGTAGAACGCCCCACTCCTAAAAATATACGGATTTGATGTCATGTAGACTGGACTGTTCCGCTTGCTGGACGTAATTACGTTAAGCCCAGCGCGCTAATCATGTACAGGTTCATGTTGTTTGGTAACCGACAGCATGTGAAACGCTCAGCTATTATCACCTCAACTACTTTGTCTCCATATTGTCGGAAATAATGTGTTATCAACTTCTATTTACATGTTTCTCATGTGGAGTGGTTGGTGGGTGAACAAGATAGTGCTACAGTTCAGAAATTTAGCTTGAAAAGTTGAGCTCACTACATTGTTGTAATGTGACGAGGTTTTAATTGCTTTGTCAATAATAATATGAGGTATGCAAGCTTACATCTTTGGGTGGGTGGTAATGCTCTATATTCGACATTTAGTAGAGTATGGAGGTTCAACAGTAATTTCCTGAGGATTTACGCTGAATCACTTATACAATTACAAAACAGAAAATACTTTTTTATCAGTACATGCCTTGTGTAGGAGTGAGCTTCCCAGTTATTCCCAAAGTATTTTATCAGTTCGTCTAGATGGGCTTCTTCTTCGTAGTTCATATTTGTCGTATACATTCATCCTTGTATTTGCGATGAATTTGTCGGTTGATCCTCTGGTCTCGCAATTGTTTAACATTCCCCATATGTGGGTGTTGACTGCCAACTAATCACAGTTACCTTGGCATTATCAGGATCTTCCCGATTCGAGATTTTCATGTCCATAGTTAGCCGTATGTAATAATATCAGTGATAGCATACTGTCACTCTAATGTTAATCTATGTTCGACTATGCGTAAGTAAAGGGAGGACCCACTTGTTCTGATATAGCAGTTGGTACAATCTACTTTGTACAGGTTAGATTTGTATTTTATTCCCTGTCGTGTATTTTGGTATAGATGCGATGAAGTGACTGTATAGGTTTTTGGGCGAAATCAATTCCATAGGACCTTAGGATCATTGTAATGGTTTCTGCGATGTTTCTTAAATGTGGTAAGAAAATATGTTTCTGGTCTAGGGTTGGTATTCTTATTGTATGTCAGACTTTTTTTGATGAAGTTGTCAGGGTACCCTTGTGGATTTCCACTTTTCTGAATAGCGTCTGGTTACAACTGCTTTTGGGTAATGTTGTAGTTTATCATTTTATACGTGTGGCTTGGTAATCCGTACAATTGTATCTCCAAAGTTCCTGTGTTTGTTCTGTTAAGTCAAACGTTCAGGGAATGTTTTAACTTATTCTTCTTTTTGACTTGTAAATTCGATATTATTGAAGACGTTGCTGATCAAATCTTAAGTATTTCCGAGCTAACGAATGTGTCATCTACGTATTTAAATCTTCAGTTTGATTACTAGTAGAAATGTACTTTGTGGTCTTTGCATCACTCTATCTGCAATTGTTTGTGAAATAGGGGATCCTATTAGCTTCACCGGTATGTTTGTTGAATAAGATATATGTTGTAAAACACAGATTGGTGAGTTATAAGAAACTTGTGCAGTCAGTGGACTAAGTTGGAGAATCGATATAATGATCACGAAATTCTGTCTGTCTTGTTATCATGTAGAGTTCTTGGCACAAAATGTAACTGCCTAGCCGTAACAATACTTTGTGATAAGGTATTTAATTTGTCTAACACCGATCTGTTGTAAAATCGAGGGAGGACGAGTTTAGTGGATTTTGCTCGCCACTGATTGTTTCGCAGTTTGTCTTTGACGAGTTTGCTTAGAGTTTTGTTGATTCAACTAATTTTTTTAACAGGATTTGTCACTAATGGTTGTTATAGACTTGTTCTTGATATCCATAACTACCTTTGTCTGTTGGTACTATGACGTTGACTTTTTGTATTCACCTATCCTGTACAGTCAGAAGTACTATGACTTATCAGACTTCTTGTTGAGTTTCTTCGTTTAGTCCTGATTCATCAGTGATGATTTATCATGGTATATTTTGCAAAACATTGTACTGGTACTTCGCAATAAAATCAAATTACCGGTCATTTATAAGGAGCGAATTAAAATTTCATGAGTGGTAGCATTATGTCAACGAACAAGTGATCGATCACCATTTATGTATAGTTAATTGTCTACTTTGTAGATAAATAAGGATTACTGGCCAAACAGCCTATGTTATATAACATCGGAATTGGCACAAACTTTTATTGGTTTGTCAAATTACATGAATGTAGTGAAAGGACTTTACTGGGATAAAAAGCAAATGAGTCAAAATAATGGTATCAGTGGTTCCAAAAACCTACACATGATACGTAATTCAAGAGATGATGGTAAGTATCACATGATACTAAGTTGAAGATTCAGAATAATAATAACCCATTTGCAACACCTTGATCGGCAGTAAGTCATGCCACTTGAACAATAAAGTACAATTACTCTGAGAGCCGTAACAACAAGCTTCAAAATTACTGAAACGACTAAGATCAAACGTCAGTAGCTTCATGGGCTGATATTTAATATTACTTTAACCACCCCATTAAATATTTATAAAGTTTAAAATCGTCTAACGACCACGTCACGAAGACGGAAATTACTTTTTTTAACCGTTACAGCATGTAGGACTATAATCACATAGCAGTATGAGAATAAGCGTAGTTACTTAGCTACAAAAACACTAGAAGGTTTTTACACTTCAAAATAAAAAAACGCAACTACTAGAAACTGAAGTAAACATCGAATGACCTTACATAAGTGTTACTTTACCATTAATTGGCAATACATACAAGACATGATTTCTTGTTACTTTGGGATCGCCATGAATACAACAAAAAACTGGTTAGTACAATTTTTATTCAAAAATAATTAGTAGTAACAGTATCCAGGCACCGACAATAAGTTGGATTGCACGAATAGAGAATTAATGACATCTACAAAAAAGGTAAGTAACTGTGGGATATTACTTACTTTCTCCTGCATTTACAGTTTCGACACGCCTTATTTTTTTATCAGGATCTATGGGTGTTATGATCAGTTCAACGTCCTCGTGATTTGATATCTCTTCAATTTTCCTACATTCGGAGCCTTCGTTATCATTAATCTTTACTGAAACAGAATTCTTGTTATCATGATAATCCACACAAAGTTTGAAGCTTACTGATGTAGGGTGTTGATCAACCGGGACGATAATTTCCATTGACTTGGCTGACTTTTTATCAACCAAATCTAAGGTATCTAATAAAGCAAAAATTATAACACACCACAAGTTTGTGGCTCGCTTTGGAGACTGCGTTCTTTTGCTTTAGCAAAATATTCAGAGACAGACATTGGACTTATCACAGTAGGAATTTGACAATCAGATTTCTTTGCAGGAGCATTTGACGAGACTATTTTTTCTTCCAAAAATGACTGACTATGTCCAAGAACAATGGATAGATCTTGCTTATCATACTTAGATGCATCCTTTGCCCTTAAAGTCTTCATACCTCTTCTCCAACTCATTGGCAAACATTCACTGATTGGATTTGTCTTGTCAGAACTATTGTGGGCGTTGTTAAGCTTACGCAGAAGACTTGCGTATTCATCAATCTGCCGGATACCCAAACAAAAGTCCGACTTCATACCCAGCCCCCGTGTGCCTTTCTGTATGGAAGCCTAAAAACATTTTAGGAAATAAAAAGCGATACCTTTATAGGGGCTACAATACCGTTACTGTTTTTTCCTACACCCTTTCCAGGAGCCCAACCATATTTTTCTAGCATTTTTCTGCCAAAATTGTTGGGATCGGTAGCCCAAAGATTCCCATTTGGGTCTGTTGAATACCTTACTTTTTTACGTTTTTCTGAAAGCATTTTGAAGTATTAGGCTACAGAGAGATATCTAAAAACATAAAGAAGGATCAATAAGATATAATTCCCTAAAGCGTTAAGACTTACGAATCCCAGCTAATTTAGACAGTAGGGTTAAGTGTACAGATAATATTCACGTAGTACATTTGGTGTCGCTGCCAACCAGGAGAGGGGGGTGCTGTTCTGCGGACGCCGTTGCGGGCCTGGAGCTGAGGTGCAGGTTGGGGCAGCCTGATGCGGTGAGGTGGCGTCTGGTGGAGTGTTCTGGCGTGGCGGCGTTGGCTGTAGCAGGTGCTGTCGACGGAGAGGGGCGGTGGGACGTGCGGCTGCTGAGCGGACATCGGATGGCTCAGCAGGCCGGTGGAGTACGGGTGTAGACGTCCCAGGTGGAGGTCGGATGTTGGTTCCCCGGCAGGTCAACGGAGCTATGGAGGTGAGCGCGCCGCAGACTCGACATTTTGACGAAGGGTGTAGCACAGACTGCACATGGAAGAATGTTGCACGGCGAGCATGAACCACCGCAAGAACGAATGCTTCAAAGGGGGGGGGACGAGTGTGGTGTGTGCTACTTATGTAGACATAAGTAGTATATTACGCGAGTTAGGAACGTAATGTCTGGCAGCAGAAGATGGGGGAAGATCAAGAAAGGAAGAGCAGGAACAGAATGGGATTTGTATGAAAACGCATGAACAATGAAATCTGAGACAATGGATTGATGTTTGCAACAGGAACAGTCAAGTTTGACATGATGGATTGATATTTTGCAAATTAACGATTTAATATATGGTTCTCAGATTTTATCGAGATTCTCTGTAATTTGTTATTAAATACATTCGGTTGTCCCCACCTGTGCATTGTTCATTACTGACTACTAAATCAGTAAGAGAGAATTAACGAACATAAAGTAATACTAGAATAATGCTAGACATACAGAATGATCTTATAAGGAACGAAGCAAACAAAAAGCATAAATTATGATTGAAAATTTAAGAATGAACACATGTAGATGTATACGCAGCTCAAATTAGGTTGAAAATGTCACTTCAGGTTCCCAACCACTGGTCATAATTATCACACACACGGCAACAGTGAAGTCCGTACTTCTCAAAACGAACATCGATCTGTCGTTTAGTGCCGTGTCTTGATTAGATGTTCCTGGCCTCCAGCTAGAAGTCAGATAATTATGAAAGCTAGTGCTTTGGATACTGTATTGACCAAACTGAAGAGCATATATATATATATATGGAGCACCCAACTAGCCCATCTTATAAAACAATGGATAAGAAACACTCTCCTAGTTTGCAATGTACTAGTTATACAGAACAGCTTATTTATCTTCAGCTAGTATTTAACTGATTCCGTACATCAATTTTCTTAAGATCCCGAGGTACTACAGGGTTTCTAGACATAATTTTAAAGTTAAGAGAAAACGGACAGAAGCAGTCAAATGAATGAACAATCCAAGGCAAGAAAGTCATGGTACGACTGGATTTCAGTACTTATTGACTTTTAAGAAATTGCAGGTCTTTGTACCAGTTGAATGACATACAACTGACGAATGGTATAGATATCAGTATATGGAAACATTCCTGGATAGAAATCCGTGCAGTTTACTGAACTGCAACGTCAAGTTCATAAATCATAACAATCGACAACTGGTTTATATGACCCTAAGGTGGGATGAATAGGCGTTCCGGAGATCGGACTCAAACGCCTTAAAATAATGGTTTGCGAATTCAGTCAGTCAATAACAACGTGGAACTTCGTACGTACGTACATCAGTTCGAGTTGCCATACCACATTAGCACAGAGATTCAGTTATCGATTCAAATCCCATAGTGGTAGAGGTACTGAAAGTATAAGTAGAGATAGGGGACATCAAGGTTTGACAATGTTATTAAAGGAGTATAGTCCAGTGAAATAAATTGGGAAAGAAAATAAAGGACATGAAGAATTCAGAAGATTAGAGTTTGAGAGAACACAAAGAGTGGATGCACCTGCGCCATTGAAAACAATTTTGAGCCATGTCATTCAAGGTCTCTAACCATCGGTTGCTATCGTCTCGCGGTCCCCAACCAAGTAGTCTAAGCCTACCAACATGACTCAGTCCACTTGTCAGTAACTTCATGGATTTCTGAAATGTTTTGGTCTGGCCGCCTCTAGCTTTCTTCTAACCTACTCCTACACCATGAAACATCGCACGTCGGTGGTCTGACATGCGCAACACATGTCCCAGCCATCTCAACTGATTAAGTTTCACTACTTCATCAATTGATTTGCCATCCTTACCTAGTACCCGTTTCATAACAACTGCATTACTTACTCGGTGGTCCCAGGATATACGAGCGATGTTTCGAAGACACCTATGGTCAAATACTAGTAACCTACGAATATCTTCTACTCTTACTGGCCATGTTTCACTGCCATAAATTAGGACGGAACGAACGGCTGCGCAGTAAACCCGTTCTTCTGTTAGTAGACGGATATCTCGCCTACGCCACAAATGACGCAAGTTGGCAAAAGCTAGTCGAGCCTTTTGTATCCGTGCTGAGATTTCGTCACACACCAAACCACAAGGGCTGATGAGACTTCCGAGATAAGTGAAGCGGTCGACACGCTCAACTACTTCACTCCCTATCACTAGTTCGGGTGTCGACGCAACCCAATCTTGAAGCAACATTTCGCATTTCGAGGGAGAAAATCGCATGCCGAACAGGCTTGCATTGTTGCTTAGAGTGGTCAGCAGACTCTGCATTCTGTCAGCGTCTTCACTAAATAGAACTATGTCATCGGCATATTCTAAGTCAACAAGTGGATCTCCCGGTAAAGGTTCAACTCCTGGAAATTTAGATGAGGAAAGTGTCATCTCTAAAAGGACGTCAACGACAAAGTTAAACAAGAATGGAGAGAGTGGACAGCCCTGACGAACACCACTTGAGGTAATCAATTCTGATGACAGTTCGCCATAAGCTCTCACTCGACCAGTTGTGTTCGAGTAGAGAGCCTTTATAAGGTTGATGTACTTCTTTAGTACTCCTTTCAGTGACAAACACTGCCATAGCTTTGGTTAGACGTCGAAGTATTATTGAAGCTAATATTTTAGACACTTATTAGTCAAACTAATTCCTGTGATTGTCACAGGAGGACTTTTGTCCTTTCTTATAGACTGGTACAATCAGTGATTGAGACCAATCATGTGCGATTACGTCCAGTTCCCAGATTCTACCTAAGACCTCAGTCAATCTCGCTGCTAATACTGGACCGCCATCCTTAAAAATCTCAGGGGTAAACCTGTCAGGGCCTGCTGCTTTCCCACGCTTCAGATTTCCTATAGCTTTTTCAACTTCGTAAAGAGTCGGAGGACTTACATCAACTTGCCATTCAGGTCGACTGGAGATCGTGGGAAACCGAAGTGTGGCTGAAGGCCAGTTGAACTGATCCCTAAAGTATTCTGCCCATCGGTCCAATCTACTGTATTTATTTATTTTAACACATAAGTATAGGTACAGGGAGGCACCAAAATACATATGCGCCACACAAATCTCAATTGATTTGTGTGAGGGCTGTGATACTGCCCGGGTGCCCAAACCGAAGCAGGTGGTTGTCTTAGGGGGCCACACCCCAAGCCTTTGACCTGAACGTCTGACCCACAAGGCAGTGGAGCATCGTGAGGAGATGCAGTCCCATGGTAGCCGGTGACCAACGATTGGTTCATACGCCATTTGTTCCCGCAGGATACTGGAGCCCATGTGCACCATTGGTTTGGGGTCCGGTTAAAGCGCCAGACATTCGCTTTTCGTCCTCTCATTTTTGTAAACAACACCCCCGCCACGAGAAGGCAGTGAGTAGGACTTCCCTGGCAGGGGCTATGTACGCATCCAATCTACTGGATTGAGAATGAATAATATGTCCATCTTTCTCTGCGATTGTTTCGCTAACAGTTGGGTTCCTAATACCGGTTTCCTTAACAAATCTGAACAGTTGCTTGCTGTTACCTATTGCAGCTACCTTTTCCATCTCTCTTGCTTTCGCTACCCACCACTGTTCACGATCTTTGCGTAGGCTTCTAGTCAGCTTACGCTTAAGCTGACTCCGCTCTTCGTTATGTTCAGAGCCAGATGGAATGAGTTTTTGAGCATCTATCAGTGCGGTAGATGCTGCTGAGATCCAGTGTTTCTTCCTAACCTTATGGTTTACCGTACTTGCAGACATCACTGCCGTTTCTACAGCTTTTCGGATGTCATTCCACGCTACCTCAGGGTGGGCATCGCTTACATGGCTGCCTAACTGTTTTTCTAGTTGTTCCTGAAATATACTCTTAGCTTGATTATCATTAAGTAGGACCCTAAGAGGTTTCCTTGCACGATCTTTTCTACGTCCAGTAAGACGTAGACAAATACGCGCTCGCACTAGAGCATGATCTGAGTCTAAGCATGTGCTCCAGAATGAGCGAGTCTTCTATCGAGCCCCTCCATCGGTGGCTGATAGCGATGTGATCTATATGGGTCCAGCGTTGAGACCAATTAGAGGGTCGCCATGTTAAAAGATGTTTTTCCTTATGCTTAAAGTTAGTGTTTGCAAGAAACAGGCGGTTATCTGAGCAAAGCTGCAACAGACGGTCGCCGTTATCTGTTCTTTGAACCGCGACACCATAAGATCCACCCAGGTGTCTTTCCTTTTCGCTTAGTTTACCTACTTGAGCATTAAAGTCACCAGCCACTATTACTACATCTGAACGCCTAGCTTTTCGGAGAAGGTCGGAAAGCTTTCTGTAAAACTCATCTTTTGCATTATCTGAGCTGCAGTCAGTGGGAGAGTAGGCAGAGACGACGAAGAGGCAACGACGAGTGTCCGTATCTTTTCGAGTCCTTACTGTTCCGTTTAGTCGGACAGCACACAAACGACTGTCTACTGGGATCCAGTCTAAGAGAGCTAGTTCTGCCCTAGGACTCGATGCTATACCTACGCCAGCGAGGCCACGGGAAGAAGCATCAGGGCTTCCAGATACACAAAGCGTAAATCGAGTTGGTCCGTTACTTTGACATGGTGCGGTCAAATGAATGACACTACTAGGATCCTGTGTGCGCGTTTCGGAGACGCAGCACACATCAATGGAGCGAGATTCTAAAGTCTTAGCTAAGGAAGCCTATTGTCCTATTTGGCACAGTGTTCGGACGTTGAAAGCTCCTACGTGTAGTTTGGAGCGTGGTTTCAGGAGACCAGGAATAACATTCCGCGTACTCGAATTGTTCGCACTAGCGGGGCGAGGTGATAAAGGGAAGTAAGAAGGGTTAGTCGTGGAGATAAGAGTTATTAGGTGTAGGAAGGATTTGAATGTGACCAACTTGTTCTCGTGTGCTGTTGCGGGTATGAGGGCTGATATCACTTCCCGGTTGCCCACACCGTGGAAGGGTATTTCTTGAGGGACCTGAAAAGGAAGTCGGATTAGTGTTGGTCTTAACGACCTGGGTGCGTGACCGCAGAGCCCGAGGGACAACTGCCTGAGGCCGGGCGCGCACGGCCTTTTTGTGGGAGGTTTTTAATGTGTTAGCTCCGTTCTTCAAAGGGCCTTACCGCCGGAGACGGAAATCCGTGGGGTAATGTGAGGTGTGACATTTTTAGGGTCAACCTTTTCTAACCCCTTCCTTCCTTGTGAGAAGGCAGCATCGCTGCAGATGCTGGTTGTCCGAGGGAAACACCTTACTGCTGTCACACCTCTGTACAGTCAGCAGTACGACTTCGCCCTCAGACCTTGAGTTGCTGCTTTTAGTCTTACCGTTCTCCAATCGACCTGCCTGGCATGGTAGAACCTGCAGGAACATGTGTTCCAGCCAATATAGCTCGGTTGGGTCATCACGATAGGCAAGCCCGACCACCACGTCAAGGTAGCAGCTACGGTCGGGGGTTTGCGAATTACTGACCATTCTAACATACGAGCAGGGAAATAAGGAAATTTTGGGGAAACCTCCAGACTTGAGGAAAATTTGGGGTTTTCGTGCCATTTTTCCTAATTTTACAAAAGCGGCTCCCGATATATTGGGAGCTCGAATCACCGCTACAACTAGAGTAAAAACCGACATCCTCATGTTTATCTTCAAAAAGTTTGCAAAGCTAGATTATAATTCATGGACGAAATGATATTATCAAGAACAGAACGTCAAAAGTTTCGTGGCCAGAGTTATTTATACTTACAGACAAACATTATTTCGATAATATACTCGTCGTCTGCTTGTGATGGAAAACCTTAATTTGAATCCTAAATCCTCACACTAGTTTATTATGCTAATAAGTAGGTGAGTTGTCTTGAGGTCACTTAAACATCACTCAAAGGTCGTCAAAAACTTGTAGTCTCACCGATTATTATGTCACTAGATATAATTAACTGAAGTATGTGTGAATTACGAACAAATGGGGTGTACCATCTAGTTTGTGATTGTAATCAACAGATCTCAGAAAAGCCACAAATAATGGATCACTGAAATGGAGATGCTCTAGAACATTTGCCATCCCTGTTCTCACATTTTTAATCGTATAAACCATGAAGCTATATTGCATCCTGAGAATCACATACATAAAAACACAGTTAATGCTTGATCCGTTTGAATTATTAAGTCATAAACCAAAATTCAAAGTCTCTTGCAAAAGTTAGTGAAGTAAAACCTTAAGTACAACATTGCATCAAAAACCCAATAACCTCGAAATATTACGGTAAGAAGAGTACACTTTTGACCAGGATATTTGGCGAATGATTCGAGATTTCGAAAGAATACAGAGAATTTGGATGTACAACACACTTGACAAAACTATGTTGTGATTTTTCGACGACAGCTGTCCGACTAACGGTGCTCTTAACGGAAAAAATAATACCCCGTATCATTATTTATATAACGAGAGAGCTTATTATAATTTTAATGACAGAATAACTTAAACTAGATAATTTTCATGCTAAAAGATACCTCAGACAAAACACTTAGTAATGACAGCACATCAATACCTAATAATTCCTGAATATAAGAACCCAAGTAAACGTACATCATGGTAACGTACATAACCAAGCTCCCACCATACAATTACAATTTAACACCACGTATCATTAATTATAACACATGGACAAGTCGCTGTTTCATTTCCCCTCTATTTTTATTAATGTAGAGACAAAAAGTTGTTATGATAGTATTATTGTTTATTTACATCTATGGCTATAAAATTCGGAGTATTTGTATAAGTACTCATTGTGTTTTATTTATTTGTTATAATTGTATAATACAAATTTTTTGTCACGCTATCTACTTATTCCCACTTACAACACTTGATCAAGTCTCATACTATTTTTGTTTTAATTATCGTTCAAATATTTCAAAAAGATTTATGTACAGGAATAACAAATCTTTCGCTTAAATGGCTTCTGTATCAGGTAGCAGTGAATCACAGGTAGGAACCGATGTATATGTGAAGACCAAAAGAGTCATCAGTAAAGAGTGATGGTCAACCATCCATGACACAATAGACGGACAAACAACACATGATACCCTTTCACATTGCAAGACACCGAATCGAGGTATAGCACTTTTGTTGGATAATGCCCAACTATTTATCGTACTGCACTGTCAACACTCGACAAAGAGCGGAGCACTCACTCTGTTTGCCAAGTACAAAAATCCAGTCTCTCTGAGTTTATTTCTCCCCAATGTTCTCGACAACTGTCTACATTTGTCAGTTTACTTCAGATATTGAACATATATCTGGGGCAGCTAATGTTGTTGCAGACGAATCGTCCCGTATATATCCTTGATAATTTGTAGGAAACTGACCTAAGTAAAGGGAGGACCCACTTGTTCTGATATAGCAGTTGGTACAATCTACTTTGTACAGGTTAGATTTGTATTTTATTCCCTGTCGTGTATTTTGGTATAGATGCGATGAAGTGACTGTATAGGTTTTTGGGCGAAATCAATTCCATAGGACCTTAGGATCATTGTAATGGTTTCTGCGATGTTTCTTAAATGTGGTAAGAAAATATGTTTCTGGTCTAGGGTTGGTATTCTTATTGTATGTCAGACTTTTTTTGATGAAGTTGTCAGGGTACCCTTGTGGATTTCCACTTTTCTGAATAGCGTCTGGTTACAACTGCTTTTGGGTAATGTTGTAGTTTATCATTTTATACGTGTGGCTTGGTAATCCGTACAATTGTATCTCCAAAGTTCCTGTGTTTGTTCTGTTAAGTCAAACGTTCAGGGAATGTTTTAACTTATTCTTCTTTTTGACTTGTAAATTCGATATTATTGAAGACGTTGCTGATCAAATCTTAAGTATTTCCGAGCTAACGAATGTGTCATCTACGTATTTAAATCTTCAGTTTGATTACTAGTAGAAATGTACTTTGTGGTCTTTGCATCACTCTATCTGCAATTGTTTGTGAAATAGGGGATCCTATTAGCTTCACCGGTATGTTTGTTGAATAAGATATATGTTGTAAAACACAGATTGGTGAGTTATAAGAAACTTGTGCAGTCAGTGGACTAAGTTGGAGAATCGATATAATGATCACGAAATTCTGTCTGTCTTGTTATCATGTAGAGTTCTTGGCACAAAATGTAACTGCCTAGCCGTAACAATACTTTGTGATAAGGTATTTAATTTGTCTAACACCGATCTGTTGTAAAATCGAGGGAGGACGAGTTTAGTGGATTTTGCTCGCCACTGATTGTTTCGCAGTTTGTCTTTGACGAGTTTGCTTAGAGTTTTGTTGATTCAACTAATTTTTTTAACAGGATTTGTCACTAATGGTTGTTATAGACTTGTTCTTGATATCCATAACTACCTTTGTCTGTTGGTACTATGACGTTGACTTTTTGTATTCACCTATCCTGTACAGTCAGAAGTACTATGACTTATCAGACTTCTTGTTGAGTTTCTTCGTTTAGTCCTGATTCATCAGTGATGATTTATCATGGTATATTTTGCAAAACATTGTACTGGTACTTCGCAATAAAATCAAATTACCGGTCATTTATAAGGAGCGAATTAAAATTTCATGAGTGGTAGCATTATGTCAACGAACAAGTGATCGATCACCATTTATGTATAGTTAATTGTCTACTTTGTAGATAAATAAGGATTACTGGCCAAACAGCCTATGTTATATAACATCGGAATTGGCACAAACTTTTATTGGTTTGTCAAATTACATGAATGTAGTGAAAGGACTTTACTGGGATAAAAAGCAAATGAGTCAAAATAATGGTATCAGTGGTTCCAAAAACCTACACATGATACGTAATTCAAGAGATGATGGTAAGTATCACATGATACTAAGTTGAAGATTCAGAATAATAATAACCCATTTGCAACACCTTGATCGGCAGTAAGTCATGCCACTTGAACAATAAAGTACAATTACTCTGAGAGCCGTAACAACAAGCTTCAAAATTACTGAAACGACTAAGATCAAACGTCAGTAGCTTCATGGGCTGATATTTAATATTACTTTAACCACCCCATTAAATATTTATAAAGTTTAAAATCGTCTAACGACCACGTCACGAAGACGGAAATTACTTTTTTTAACCGTTACAGCATGTAGGACTATAATCACATAGCAGTATGAGAATAAGCGTAGTTACTTAGCTACAAAAACACTAGAAGGTTTTTACACTTCAAAATAAAAAAACGCAACTACTAGAAACTGAAGTAAACATCGAATGACCTTACATAAGTGTTACTTTACCATTAATTGGCAATACATACAAGACATGATTTCTTGTTACTTTGGGATCGCCATGAATACAACAAAAAACTGGTTAGTACAATTTTTATTCAAAAATAATTAGTAGTAACAGTATCCAGGCACCGACAATAAGTTGGATTGCACGAATAGAGAATTAATGACATCTACAAAAAAGGTAAGTAACTGTGGGATATTACTTACTTTCTCCTGCATTTACAGTTTCGACACGCCTTATTTTTTTATCAGGATCTATGGGTGTTATGATCAGTTCAACGTCCTCGTGATTTGATATCTCTTCAATTTTCCTACATTCGGAGCCTTCGTTATCATTAATCTTTACTGAAACAGAATTCTTGTTATCATGATAATCCACACAAAGTTTGAAGCTTACTGATGTAGGGTGTTGATCAACCGGGACGATAATTTCCATTGACTTGGCTGACTTTTTATCAACCAAATCTAAGGTATCTAATAAAGCAAAAATTATAACACACCACAAGTTTGTGGCTCGCTTTGGAGACTGCGTTCTTTTGCTTTAGCAAAATATTCAGAGACAGACATTGGACTTATCACAGTAGGAATTTGACAATCAGATTTCTTTGCAGGAGCATTTGACGAGACTATTTTTTCTTCCAAAAATGACTGACTATGTCCAAGAACAATGGATAGATCTTGCTTATCATACTTAGATGCATCCTTTGCCCTTAAAGTCTTCATACCTCTTCTCCAACTCATTGGCAAACATTCACTGATTGGATTTGTCTTGTCAGAACTATTGTGGGCGTTGTTAAGCTTACGCAGAAGACTTGCGTATTCATCAATCTGCCGGATACCCAAACAAAAGTCCGACTTCATACCCAGCCCCCGTGTGCCTTTCTGTATGGAAGCCTAAAAACATTTTAGGAAATAAAAAGCGATACCTTTATAGGGGCTACAATACCGTTACTGTTTTTTCCTACACCCTTTCCAGGAGCCCAACCATATTTTTCTAGCATTTTTCTGCCAAAATTGTTGGGATCGGTAGCCCAAAGATTCCCATTTGGGTCTGTTGAATACCTTACTTTTTTACGTTTTTCTGAAAGCATTTTGAAGTATTAGGCTACAGAGAGATATCTAAAAACATAAAGAAGGATCAATAAGATATAATTCCCTAAAGCGTTAAGACTTACGAATCCCAGCTAATTTAGACAGTAGGGTTAAGTGTACAGATAATATTCACGTAGTACATTTGGTGTCGCTGCCAACCAGGAGAGGGGGGTGCTGTTCTGCGGACGCCGTTGCGGGCCTGGAGCTGAGGTGCAGGTTGGGGCAGCCTGATGCGGTGAGGTGGCGTCTGGTGGAGTGTTCTGGCGTGGCGGCGTTGGCTGTAGCAGGTGCTGTCGACGGAGAGGGGCGGTGGGACGTGCGGCTGCTGAGCGGACATCGGATGGCTCAGCAGGCCGGTGGAGTACGGGTGTAGACGTCCCAGGTGGAGGTCGGATGTTGGTTCCCCGGCAGGTCAACGGAGCTATGGAGGTGAGCGCGCCGCAGACTCGACATTTTGACGAAGGGTGTAGCACAGACTGCACATGGAAGAATGTTGCACGGCGAGCATGAACCACCGCAAGAACGAATGCTTCAAAGGGGGGGGACGAGTGTGGTGTGTGCTACTTATGTAGACATAAGTAGTATATTACGCGAGTTAGGAACGTAATGTCTGGCAGCAGAAGATGGGGGAAGATCAAGAAAGGAAGAGCAGGAACAGAATGGGATTTGTATGAAAACGCATGAACAATGAAATCTGAGACAATGGATTGATGTTTGCAACAGGAACAGTCAAGTTTGACATGATGGATTGATATTTTGCAAATTAACGATTTAATATATGGTTCTCAGATTTTATCGAGATTCTCTGTAATTTGTTATTAAATACATTCGGTTGTCCCCACCTGTGCATTGTTCATTACTGACTACTAAATCAGTAAGAGAGAATTAACGAACATAAAGTAATACTAGAATAATGCTAGACATACAGAATGATCTTATAAGGAACGAAGCAAACAAAAAGCATAAATTATGATTGAAAATTTAAGAATGAACACATGTAGATGTATACGCAGCTCAAATTAGGTTGAAAATGTCACTTCAGGTTCCCAACCACTGGTCATAATTATCACACACACGGCAACAGTGAAGTCCGTACTTCTCAAAACGAACATCGATCTGTCGTTTAGTGCCGTGTCTTGATTAGATGTTCCTGGCCTCCAGCTAGAAGTCAGATAATTATGAAAGCTAGTGCTTTGGATACTGTATTGACCAAACTGAAGAGCATATATATATATATATGGAGCACCCAACTAGCCCATCTTATAAAACAATGGATAAGAAACACTCTCCTAGTTTGCAATGTACTAGTTATACAGAACAGCTTATTTATCTTCAGCTAGTATTTAACTGATTCCGTACATCAATTTTCTTAAGATCCCGAGGTACTACAGGGTTTCTAGACATAATTTTAAAGTTAAGAGAAAACGGACAGAAGCAGTCAAATGAATGAACAATCCAAGGCAAGAAAGTCATGGTACGACTGGATTTCAGTACTTATTGACTTTTAAGAAATTGCAGGTCTTTGTACCAGTTGAATGACATACAACTGACGAATGGTATAGATATCAGTATATGGAAACATTCCTGGATAGAAATCCGTGCAGTTTACTGAACTGCAACGTCAAGTTCATAAATCATAACAATCGACAACTGGTTTATATGACCCTAAGGTGGGATGAATAGGCGTTCCGGAGATCGGACTCAAACGCCTTAAAATAATGGTTTGCGAATTCAGTCAGTCAATAACAACGTGGAACTTCGTACGTACGTACATCAGTTCGAGTTGCCATACCACATTAGCACAGAGATTCAGTTATCGATTCAAATCCCATAGTGGTAGAGGTACTGAAAGTATAAGTAGAGATAGGGGACATCAAGGTTTGACAATGTTATTAAAGGAGTATAGTCCAGTGAAATAAATTGGGAAAGAAAATAAAGGACATGAAGAATTCAGAAGATTAGAGTTTGAGAGAACACAAAGAGTGGATGCACCTGCGCCATTGAAAACAATTTTGAGCCATGTCATTCAAGGTCTCTAACCATCGGTTGCTATCGTCTCGCGGTCCCCAACCAAGTAGTCTAAGCCTACCAACATGACTCAGTCCACTTGTCAGTAACTTCATGGATTTCTGAAATGTTTTGGTCTGGCCGCCTCTAGCTTTCTTCTAACCTACTCCTACACCATGAAACATCGCACGTCGGTGGTCTGACATGCGCAACACATGTCCCAGCCATCTCAACTGATTAAGTTTCACTACTTCATCAATTGATTTGCCATCCTTACCTAGTACCCGTTTCATAACAACTGCATTACTTACTCGGTGGTCCCAGGATATACGAGCGATGTTTCGAAGACACCTATGGTCAAATACTAGTAACCTACGAATATCTTCTACTCTTACTGGCCATGTTTCACTGCCATAAATTAGGACGGAACGAACGGCTGCGCAGTAAACCCGTTCTTCTGTTAGTAGACGGATATCTCGCCTACGCCACAAATGACGCAAGTTGGCAAAAGCTAGTCGAGCCTTTTGTATCCGTGCTGAGATTTCGTCACACACCAAACCACAAGGGCTGATGAGACTTCCGAGATAAGTGAAGCGGTCGACACGCTCAACTACTTCACTCCCTATCACTAGTTCGGGTGTCGACGCAACCCAATCTTGAAGCAACATTTCGCATTTCGAGGGAGAAAATCGCATGCCGAACAGGCTTGCATTGTTGCTTAGAGTGGTCAGCAGACTCTGCATTCTGTCAGCGTCTTCACTAAATAGAACTATGTCATCGGCATATTCTAAGTCAACAAGTGGATCTCCCGGTAAAGGTTCAACTCCTGGAAATTTAGATGAGGAAAGTGTCATCTCTAAAAGGACGTCAACGACAAAGTTAAACAAGAATGGAGAGAGTGGACAGCCCTGACGAACACCACTTGAGGTAATCAATTCTGATGACAGTTCGCCATAAGCTCTCACTCGACCAGTTGTGTTCGAGTAGAGAGCCTTTATAAGGTTGATGTACTTCTTTAGTACTCCTTTCAGTGACAAACACTGCCATAGCTTTGGTTAGACGTCGAAGTATTATTGAAGCTAATATTTTAGACACTTATTAGTCAAACTAATTCCTGTGATTGTCACAGGAGGACTTTTGTCCTTTCTTATAGACTGGTACAATCAGTGATTGAGACCAATCATGTGCGATTACGTCCAGTTCCCAGATTCTACCTAAGACCTCAGTCAATCTCGCTGCTAATACTGGACCGCCATCCTTAAAAATCTCAGGGGTAAACCTGTCAGGGCCTGCTGCTTTCCCACGCTTCAGATTTCCTATAGCTTTTTCAACTTCGTAAAGAGTCGGAGGACTTACATCAACTTGCCATTCAGGTCGACTGGAGATCGTGGGAAACCGAAGTGTGGCTGAAGGCCAGTTGAACTGATCCCTAAAGTATTCTGCCCATCGGTCCAATCTACTGTATTTATTTATTTTAACACATAAGTATAGGTACAGGGAGGCACCAAAATACATATGCGCCACACAAATCTCAATTGATTTGTGTGAGGGCTGTGATACTGCCCGGGTGCCCAAACCGAAGCAGGTGGTTGTCTTAGGGGGCCACACCCCAAGCCTTTGACCTGAACGTCTGACCCACAAGGCAGTGGAGCATCGTGAGGAGATGCAGTCCCATGGTAGCCGGTGACCAACGATTGGTTCATACGCCATTTGTTCCCGCAGGATACTGGAGCCCATGTGCACCATTGGTTTGGGGTCCGGTTAAAGCGCCAGACATTCGCTTTTCGTCCTCTCATTTTTGTAAACAACACCCCCGCCACGAGAAGGCAGTGAGTAGGACTTCCCTGGCAGGGGCTATGTACGCATCCAATCTACTGGATTGAGAATGAATAATATGTCCATCTTTCTCTGCGATTGTTTCGCTAACAGTTGGGTTCCTAATACCGGTTTCCTTAACAAATCTGAACAGTTGCTTGCTGTTACCTATTGCAGCTACCTTTTCCATCTCTCTTGCTTTCGCTACCCACCACTGTTCACGATCTTTGCGTAGGCTTCTAGTCAGCTTACGCTTAAGCTGACTCCGCTCTTCGTTATGTTCAGAGCCAGATGGAATGAGTTTTTGAGCATCTATCAGTGCGGTAGATGCTGCTGAGATCCAGTGTTTCTTCCTAACCTTATGGTTTACCGTACTTGCAGACATCACTGCCGTTTCTACAGCTTTTCGGATGTCATTCCACGCTACCTCAGGGTGGGCATCGC